GTCTCGAGTTTGCAACGATCCTCCTGCCTCAGGCCTCTTGAGTGCTGGGATTACAGGCTTGCACCACCACGCCTGGCTAGACTTTATCCTGGAATCAGCCATCAGGTCCTTATTTGTATAGTAATAAACTGAGGTCCGGGGATATACTCAGTGGCATAAATTCTTGTCTGGCAAGCCTGAGGTCATGAGTTTGATTCCTGGTACCAAAAAAAAAAAAAAAAAGAAAGAAACTGAGTGATGTTGTGAACAGACTTATTCTTCTTATCTCCCAAACTAATAGGAATATGACATTCAACAATTAGTTTACTGGTTTCCAACTGATGTTACATTTGCTAACAGAGCACAAGTTGACCAGCCCAGGAGCTATACACAGGAACAAAGCAAAAATTCTAAATGAAATGTTGCAACTTCAAAACAGAGAATTGTATACTACAACTTTTGAATTTCAGAAAGGTATAATGTTGGCCTCGTTTGTTTTTTGCTTTTGTTTTTGGTCTTTTTGAGACAGGGTCTTGCTATGCAGTTCAGGCTGGCTTTGAGCTCACCTTGTAGCCCAGGCTGGTCTTGAATTCGCAACGATCCTCCTGCCTCAGCCTCCTGAGTGCTGGGATTACAGGCAAGCGCCACCACACCCAGCTTGTTGGGATTTATTTTTTGAGATAGGGTTTTACTGCACAGTTCAGGCTGGCCTTGAACTTACTTTGTAGCTCAAGCTGGCCTCCAAGTCATAGTGATCTTCCTGCCTCAGCCTCCCCCTGAGTGCTGGTATTACAGGCATGCACTGCCACACGCAGCTAGAGTTGGCCTCATACATGGCAAAGAAAAGCAGCCTGGGCACTTTTGATGTTAACATTTCACCATGTTGGAAATATTGATAGAGAAACCGCTACAAAACAGAAGCCTGAGATGGAAACGTTCAACAACAAAACTAAATGTGGAGTGGATGTTGTTGAGTTGTGCAGTAACTGTGATGTCACTTGAAACACAAAGCATTGGCCAGTGGTTGTGTTTTACTCAATCCTAAACATGTAGCATAAACAGTTTGATAGTTTACAAAGAAAATAACAACTGAAAAATACCATGGGGAAATTTTCTTAGAGGATGGGGACTGGAGCTCATAAGAGATCATTTACAGTAAAGGAAAACAAAATGTTTCTGCCCAGGGACTACGCAAAAAAAAAAAAAATTGTGGAGCACATTGGTGAGCTGACAGGTGAACCGGCAGGTATAGCATGATAAAGACCTACTACGACAAGAAGAAAACAAAAAAGATGTCACCAGCGCCGTACAAGAATGTACAGGTAGGGCCTGGGATATAGCTCGGTGGCATAAGTGCCTCCCTGGCAAGCCTGAGGTTGTGAGTTTAATTCCCGACACCAAAAAAAAAAAGTACAGGCAAAGAAAACATAGGTGTTATCAGTGTAAGTGATACTTGTGCATGGAACATGCAGTTGTCATGTGTGAGGATTACCTTGTGTGTGACAGCTGAAGCAAAGTTTATTTTTGTGGTAGAGTTTTATTGGTATTTTCATTGCAGTTAATAGGGAAGTTTATTTCTTTTTTAAGATTATCAATAATTGTTGTACTATATTTTGGTATCTACAAAGTGGCTTCCAAAGAAAATAAATAGAGCTATACATGAGTGACCTATTGAATAATCATTAACTGTTCTCAATGGTTGTTGTAGGAAACACATAATAATAAACATGCATCCATTTACAAAATAGGATAAGAACAATACAAACATTACAGAGTTATGGGTAGATTAGTAGGAAAATATCAATGACTGCTGTAATACATGGTGGTATCTTCAAAGTGGTTTCTCAGGAAGACAGAGATACGCAAGAAGGATCTAACAAGTAGTTACAGCCTAAGGGTTGTCAAAAATAGCATATTACCTCCTCACCAGTTGCTCCCATCACTGAGGTGTGACGACTGGAAGGAAGGCCAGGATTGAAAAGAAGGACCAAGAGACTTGCATCTGTGTCTATCAACAGGCTGTTTTCTTGTGAGGAGTTTATTTCTGATACTATCTTTTAGGTTTTGTAAGGAAGTACACACCTGAAAATGTGATGTCTATTCTAATCGCATAATACATATTAAGAAGTTAGGGTTGGGGATACAGCTCAGTGGCACAAGCACTTGCCTGGCAAGTGCATGGTCCTGAGTTCAATTCCTAGTACCAAAAAAAAATTTTTTTAAAGAATCTAATAATTTATGGTATTGATATTTTATGTTCCTGTTAACTACACACTGTGTAATATAATAACCTCCTGACAAAACAGCAAGATCACTGAGAGTCAAGTATGTCCTACAAAAAGGCCGGGAAGGAAAAGACGTGTGCTGTCAGTGTGAGCCGCACGTGTGCATGGAACGTGCTGTTGTCATGTGTGCAGACTGCCTTAGGTGTGATCACTGAAGTAAAGATTTTTTTTTTGGTAGAGTGCTATTGGTATTTTCACGGTAGTTCATGTGGGAATTTATTTCTGATGTTCTTTTTTAGACTTTGTACACCAAAAGCCACTTGATGTTGAAAATTTTGATGCTTTTTTTATAAGCATCAATGAATATTACAATATTTATTGAAAACTTAATACTTCATTTTTGTGATATTTTTTCTGTTAAGTACTCATTGTGTAATATAATAAGACTCATAAAGTTAATGATTCATCAATAGAAATATTCTAAAAAACAAATGCCTCGATGCACCTTGATGACAAAACTAGTCTTATGCTCCAAAGAGTCTACTACCAATATTAAGACAGGTCTATTAAATCAGACAGCTCATTGGTTGTGTGGTCCAGAGCTTCATCCATTACTGTGAGCCTCCCTTTGCTTGTCTGTAACATGGCACTAATGGTACCTGGAGAGGATTCAGTGAGATGGTGTATACGGCATTAGCCTTTGACTATACCTCTTTTCTTTTTTCTTTTTGTCATTCTTTTTGAGACAGGGTCTCGCTATGCAGTTCAGGCTGACCTTGAGCTCACTTTGTAGCCCAGGCTGGCTTCGAACCCGCAAAGATCTCCTGCCTCAGCCTCCCGAGTGCTGGGATTACAGGCATGCGCCACCAGGCCCGGCTCTTTTTGTCATTCTTGAAGACTGAACCCATGGCCCTCACATGGAGCAATATCTCCAGCCCTTTTCCATTCTATTTTTGAGACAGGCAGGGGTTGCCCAGTCAGGGTAAAAACCTGCATTCCTCAGCCTCCCAGAGTGCTGGGCTCACTGGCACAGTCCACCGTGCCTGGCTCTGATTACACTTTTTAAAAAGGGATCATGATGGTGACAAGCAGCGTAGGCTACCCGATGGGGCAAGGACAAGTCCAACCCAGGACCTGGGAAGGAACCAGCCGCAGACCCTGCCAGGTCTCTGTCTGCTCCCCTAACTCAGAAGCCTGGTGGGCAGCCGGCCTGGGGTGTGTCTGCTGGGACTGGGGACGACAGGACGTCAGCAGGCGGAGACAGCTCAGCAGGCAGCACAACCAGATGGTGGCTTGGAGGGGCCCCTGGTCCTGTTTTACAGAGCTTCCTGGTACCCGACTTCTTTCCCCCTTTGGGTCTTGAACAGGGCCCACACTGTCTCCAGCTTCTCCTTTGCTCTTGGCTTCCTGATCACCCAGGGTGCTGTGCGCCCCCTCAGGCACCAGGGCCCGGGCTCCTCAGGGGGTGACTGCACTGGTTCTCCACACTGGGGAGCACAGACGTGGCCTCCCCCAGGCCAGCACAGCCCCACAGATGGAGGATGCTTGGAGCAGGCAGTGGAGAAGGCATCAAGGAAGGCCTCCAGGGAACCCTGCAGAGACTTCCTATTATCCTGGAAACCCAACAGGCCAGGCAACCAGGAGCCCTGGGGCTGCTCAGTGCTACAGATAAGGAGTGACAGGAGGACAGACAGGGAGCACTGCTGCAGGGCCGCGCACGCAGCAGGGGTGATGGGCCCTGACCTGTGCTCAGAGCCCGCGCTCAGGGGCTACAGGAAGGAAGCCAGGGCAGGGTGCAGATCAAAGGTGTGCCATTAATGAGCCATCTCCATTCCTGGAGCTCTGTGGGACACAGGGCCATCTGATCTAAACATAGCCGCTGCAGGCAAGACGCAGGCTGTGTCATCACGCCTTCAGGGGCTGTTGGAAATCCAGGCTCGGCACCCCGACCCCTGGGGCAAAAATATGCTTTCCACGTCTCTCCCCGCTTTATTTATCTTCGCCTTAGGAGAGTCACCCTCACTACCACTGAACTGGGTCCCAGAACAACCAGACTCTTCCCAGGCATCTCGGATCTGTGTTCTGTCTGCTCAGGGGGCCCCCAGATTCCTCCCAGATCCCTACGGATCACGATCACAGTACCACCCCTTCCCTGGGAGGGACCGTCCTCTGCCGCTTGACCACTCAGCCCGTCCCAGGAGATGGGAACCATGGTGAGGTCAGATTCCTGAGAGGTGCTGGGGCCTCCGAGGGCCTCACTGCGCCGTGAGTCCTCACAGCTGGCCCCCCATCACTCATGCCTCGGAAAGGTGGAGTGGGAGAGATGGAGACAGGGAGGGCTGGGTGGAGCTGCCAGGCCTGGAGAGGAGGAGTCTGGAGACAGCCAGGCAAGGAGGGTGTTGGCTAAAGACAGCGAGGTCCACTGCACTGGGAGGGGTGGCAGGGGCCGCAGGGGTGGGGGGAGGGGCAGCGGGGAAGCCAGCCTCCCTCCAGCATTCCAGGCTGAGTTGCTAAGCCACTGGTTCCTGGAATATATAAAACAAGATCGGGGACTCTGAGGACCTCGAGGACACCTTCCGGGTGAGTTGGCCGTACTGCTGGATGCCTGCGCTCTTAGCCTCCAGGATCTTCCTCATGGCGAGGATCCCCAACTAACAAGGCAGAGAGCCCCTTCCCCTGGACCCTGGTTGTTGCTCTGGGATTCAGTGGTCACAGAAAGAGCCAGCAGAGGAATATACATCTGAGGTAACACACATATCAGGCTATAACCTGAAGGCCTTGTAAGAAGTAGCTGTGCCACTCCAAGCCTGCCTGTGGCCCTCTGACTTCCCGGGTTCCCTGTGCAATCCTAGGTCGCTCTCGCCACCTCTCTGGGAACAGGGCTGACGGTAGGGATCTTGGGTTTTGTTAGAACCTACGTGGGGCCTGGAACTGCCTGACTCCAGGGGTCTGAGACTCAGGTCTCTGGGGGCGACTTTCTTTTTCCAAAAGCAACCCTGGACTGGCTCCCCAGAAAGGAACCTTGGAACTTACTTTATGGAGCTAGGACTTACCTGTGGCTGGACAGTTCTAATGCAAAAAACCCGGACAACTGCGGGTCTGTGAATATGACAAACTCTTCCTTGAGCATGGCATTTCTATGCCAGCAGAACATCTGCCCCAGGCAGGGTACACATGGAACATACGACTATTGCCCTGGAAAGAGTTTACATAAGAAGGGACATCTTTTCCCTCCGGAAGCTCATGGGAGGGACGGCGACTCGGTAAAGGGTGTGAGGACACTGGGAGACTGAGGTCCAGAACTGACCGATGAGGGAGGCCCCGGGAAGGAAGAGGAAGGGCAGAGGGCCGTCACAGCGCATGTGGGGGAATGGGAAGAGCAAAGTCACTGCACGCCCAGTGACACCGGGGATGCCCCACATCCTCCAGGGTTCACGCAGGCCCTGCACTGCTCCTCGGAGTCCAGGGATGAGCGCGTGTTTGTCCTGCTTCGCGGCGGCCGCTGATTTCACAAGCTTCCCTTTCCCCAGGCGTGCGCCATGCGGTGGACCCTGTTGCTGCTGCTCTTGACTGCGCCGTGCCGGAGTCGGGCAGGGCCTCTCCAAGAGGAGAGGGTCCCATTCGTACGACTCACGTCTCAAAGCTCCTGGGGGAGCGGTGGCAGCAATGCCACGGTATCGCCCTGCGAGGGGCTCCCCGCCGCGGGAGCCACGGCATGGACGGTGGCGAACCGCAGCCTGGAGCGCTTGCCCCGCTGCCTGCCGCGCTCTCTGCGCAGCCTCGACGGCAGCCACAACCTGCTGCGCGCCCTGAGCGCGGCCGAGCTCGGCCACCTGCCCGAGCTGCAGGAGCTCACGGTGCGCCACAACCGCATCGCCACGCTGCGCTGGGGCCCCGGCGGCCCGAGCGGGCTGCGCGCCCTGGACCTCAGCTACAACCAGCTGGACACGCTGCAGCAGTGCACCGGGCCCGCGCTGCGCAGCCTGCGCTTGCTGGAGCTCGCCGGGAACCCGCTGCGGGCACTGCCACCCCGCGCCTTCGTCTGCTTCCCCGCGCTGCAGCGGCTCAACCTCTCCTACACCGAGCTGGGCCGCGGCGCCCAGGGGAACATCGCGCGGGGGGCGTTCGCAGGAGAGGTCATGCTCAAGGTTCTGGATCTCAGCGGTACACACCTCCAGCAAAGTGAGTGTGGGTCTTGTGCAAAGCCAGGCTGTGCGCGCTCCTGGAGCTGGGGTTGTGCTGTTGCTGGGGTGACGGGGTGCCTCATTCACAGTAAGGTTCAAAAATACCACCAACTCCTCTGTCCCAGCAATGAGCCCGGCTCCAAGCTCCACTCCGTTTCTAATTCTTGAGCCTTTAGAGGTGGGAACAGTTAAGATCTCCATTTTACACGATGAGGAAAGCAAGCCTCAGAAGGTGGAATGACTGAGGCGAGGTCTCACAGGTCATTAAGCTCTTGGCGCCCCAAAGCCCCATCTATTCTGGGTCCAGAATCCAAAATTTTAGCCACTGCGGTGTGCCTCCCTGCACAGCCTTCTGGAGTGCACCGTCTCTATGGGGCTGCTGGGCGGATGGATGAACCAATGGCAACAAGCATGCGGTCGGTGTTAATGAAGTATGCCAGGTCCCAAGAGGAATTCATCGATGTTTCTGCTCTCTTGGCTAAAATTGCATCTGGGCACGCCGGACCACTCCAACAGGACCCAGGAGGGAGGGGGGGACAGGGTGCTCCTGCAGTTGGGGTTCTGACCTTGATTCCGGGGAGCTGTTTGTTGTTGTTGTTGTTGTTGTTTTGTCTTTTTGAGACAGGGTCTCACTATGCAGTTCCGGCTGGCCTTGAGCTCACTTTGTAGCCCAGGCGGGTCTCGAACTCAAAGCGATTCTCCTGCCTCAGCCTGCCAAGTGCTGAGATTACAGCCGTGTGAGACCACGCCCAGCAGGGAAGCCGTTTTTAAGGAGCACCTTATGTGTCTGTAATCATCTATTCCCTCAGAGACAGAAAAAAAAAAAGAACAAGTAGGGGACACACAGAAGGGCAGGGGCAGGCTCCATTATCAGGAGAGCCACACAGTTGGGCTTCTGGTCCCTGACTCCTGACCTTCCTCAAAGATGCCACTCCCAGGAGCCTTCTTAGTGAAGCCTGGTTATTGTACTTGTGGGTTTAACCAGATGTCAGGCAACAGTGGGCTTGGAGGTGACATCCTAGCTATGAGTCACCAAGTCCCTTCTCAGCTGTGTGGCTTTGGGCCAGTCGTTGTCCTCTCTGACTTTAGCCAACGTTGGCCGGAAGATAAGAAGAAATGGTCATCTGTGAGGGTCCTTGCAGCTGAAATGGCCATGCTTCTAGGTCCCCCAAGCTGCAGACTGCTGCACTCGGCAGCAGCATTCTTTTGTTCGTTTGTTTGTTTGTTTTGTTTGTTTGTTTGTTTTTGTCTTTTTGAGACAGGGTCTCGCTATGCAGTTCAGGCTGGCCTTGAGCTCACTTTGTAGCCCAGGCTGGTCTCGAACTCGCAACGATCCGCCTGCCTCAGCCTCCCGAGTGCTGGGATTACAGGCGTGCGTCACCACGCCCGGCCTCCGCAGCAGCGTTCTTCATGATGTCTCGGCTCTTGTTTCCTGACCGCTGTGCTGGGCCCTGGGTTTGCGCCTGCGCAGTGGGCAGAGTCCGCTCTGTGTTGCAGTTGAGTCTGGGTGGATGAGAGACCTGCCGAACCTGACGCACCTCTACCTGCGGAAGATGCCCAGGCTGAGGACCCTGGAGGGAGACATTTTCAAGATGACCCCCAAACTGCGCCAGCTGAATTGCCAGGACTCCCCGGCACTGACTTCCGTCCACACACACATCTTCCAGGACACACCCTCTCTCCAGGTCCTTCTGTTGCACAAGTGAGTGTTTCCACACATCTGAATCACAGAACTCGTGTTTTCCCTTTACACTATGTCGAATTTCATAGAACAAACTAAACCTTAATTTTTTTCCTTGTGACTTTTCTAGATTTGTGACTTTTCTCTGGGATTTAGTTAATCCTCCTCCTTTGGGTGTTATTTTGGGCAGGTACCTAATGGCCCAGGCAGCCTAATAGCCAGCAGCTCTGTCCAGTCCAGAGCAATATTAAAGCTCCCAGCTCTTAGGGATTTAACATTCTTTGCGGGGGGGTACCTAGGGATCGAACTCAGTTTAACAATTTTTTTTAAACCCAGGGTGAGATATTTACAGTAGGAAGAGGAGATGTGGGCATCAGGCCTCCTTCCCATCATGCTTTGCAGGTTGAGTTTCTCTCCCAGGGTTTGAGCCGGTCTGGGAAGGGAAGGTGAGCCGGTAATAAGGTCCCACCTGCAACCGGGGTGTAAGGCAGGTGCCCTCTGGCCTGGTGGGTGGAAATTGTGTCCTGCTACCCACTCTCATGCCTAGGAACAACTGCTGGCTGGACTTCTAACAGGAAGGGAAAGCAAGCATCTTTGACCTATGGCCAGTCCCAAAGTAGCCAGTTCCCTCTTCTCGCTGCCAGCATTTGACCTTTTAATTTCTCACACATGAGTCAGACAGAGTCTTTGTATCCCCAAGTTCCAAGGGACATCAGCACCCCAGGTCTCCTCTGTCGCTTGGCTCAAGGATTGAGGAGGCGTCACTTGGCATAATGGAAGCATCCTTTATTCCCCCACATCGTGGTTAATAGTGGGAAGTGGGCGCTTCCAAAGCGGTCTTCACCTCCCAGCCTCTTCTGCCTTCCAAGCCATTCGCAGAGCACTCAGAGGCTGGCAATGGGTTAGCAAAGCCCACTTCACAGTCTCTTCCCTTAGCCTCACAGGGGCTCCTGCACCTCACTTGAGGAAATGGGTACCCTCACCACCTCAGTGTGCTCAGCCTTTTATAGTCTGCTGGACTTTAGCCTGAAACAGCCCCGTTTTGAACATCCTGTTATTTAACAGCTTTTTCTATGTCATTAGCCATAGGTAAAATAGTAGAGATAGAAACAGCATTGAATCTTTACCTGTTGTGCAGTTTTGTCCTGCCCAACCCACTTGTAGATGGACAGATTTCAATAAAAGAATATCCTTGTCATCTGGGTGTGGTGGCACACGCCTGTAATCCCAGCACTTGGGAGGCTGAGGCAGGAGGATCGTTGTGAGTTCGAGACCAGCCTGGGCTACAAAGTGAGCTCAAGGTCAGCCTGAACTGCACAGCGAGATCCTGTCTCAAAAAAACCAAAAAAAAGAATATCACTGTCTCCTGATCTGCCTCCCATGGTCCAATAAGATAGTGCCATGAAATATGAAAGCCGGGAAAAGCCATGCAGGTAGCACTGTGTGAAAGTATTGTTACTGGCAGAAAATCGCCGGAGTCCAGTGGCAGGTTTTGTTAGTTCTATTTTATTTGGTGCAGACACTGAAGATGGAATTACTTTTCCAAAAGAATGGGCTTTAGGACTTTTCATGACAGAGAGGGACAGCATATGTAGAGCGCTTAACTCAGTTTCTGACACACAGCAAGTGCCCTATAGAGTCAGTGTAGGGGGGATGATGGTGCTGGTGATGGTGGTGGTGGTGGTAGTGAGAGCGGTGGTGGTGATGGTGGTGGTGCTGATGGCAATGGTGGTGTACACGACGTTGAGGACGGTGAAGATGGTGTGATGATAATGGTGGTGGGGAGGGTGCTGATGGGGACAGGTGTAGTAGTGATGACAATAGCACCTCTGCTTCCAAGGAGCTCATACTTCAGCATAGACAGCAATCTGCTAAGCATCATGGTACATCGTGATTGACAGCAGAGGCACATGCCAGGTGCTGTGTTATAAGGGAGGTGACAGAATGCCCCATCAGACTGGAT